TCACCTCAGAGCTCTGAGAGGCCCTGGACGGAGCCCAGGTCCAATAAACCAAAACGTCCAGAGGTGGGACTCGGGCAGGATGTGCCCCCAAGCTCCCTGGTCATTCCATCAAGTGACAAGCTCCAGAACTGCTGTCCTCGAGGGCTGATGGCTAATCTCGAGGAGCGGGGCTGGGGGTGGGGCTGGATGTGGTGCCCCCTCAGGAATGAAGCCTGGAGGACATGGGGATGCTGGGGTCCTGCTGCTGAGCCCTCCACCCTGTGGTGGGTGGTAGAGAAGGGTCCAGGCAGGGCAGCCTCCAGGTCCCCAGCTGTCACCGACCAAAGCCAGACGGAAAACTCAGCTCACCCGGAAACGTCCAGGACGGGCCCATCCTGCCCGGGCCCTCGGATCTGGAAGTTCAGTCAGTACAGAGAGAGGACGGGGACATGGTGCCTACAAATTCAGGCACTCCCTTGGGTCACCCTGTCATCAACTCTCCCTTCAAGCCCCTCCCAATGTCCGTGCTCTGACCAGGAGAGTTTAATTACTGATGGGCCCGCAGTCTGTGCTGAGCCTGCTTCTGCATTTGGGTTGACCAGGCGAACTGTCCTCCCAGACCCCAGAGACGGGAAGGGGGAGCCCGCGGGTCTCTTACTGAAGCCTCTGTGATCCCGTAAAAGGCCGGGGGGTAAAGTGATTGCACATGAGCCTCACACGGCCCTGGGGACAGGGGACAGTCTACATTTGAAAGCTCAGTGACACGCCACCATGAGGCATATCTCCCGCAGCTGAAAGCGATGAGCTGAAGCACGCTGCCTGCACTCAGGGCTCTCTGTCAACGCCAAGGATGGCGGCTCCAGGGCCACCTTCCTGTCCCACTCCTGACCTCACTGCCCCTCCTGGAAGGAGATTCCCTACAAAACAAGTGTGCAATCGCCCTGGACCTGCATGACCCCCGACCACCGCTTCGTTCTTGGCCCCTTCCAACTCATCTGAAGCTCCTCTCTCCCGAGGGAGCTGTCCTGTCCATGGTCCATGCCCAGATGGTGGCTCAGCCTCCAAAGGCTGCAGCCAGGCCATGGGAGTCAAAGATCAGCCGCGAGAGGGCTCAGGAATGTCTTCCCACGTGACCCCCCTGACTCCATACCCCCTTCACCTGTCCTACTCAGGATGTGCCCCCAAGCCCACTCTTGTCCCTTTCCGGGAAAGGCCATCCTGGACCCAGGAGATTCTAGGAAGGCAGCAGCTGGGATGCACCTCCAGCACCTTGGTTCCTAGGCCGCTCTGCTCAGGAGAGGGCAGGCAGGGCCTGGAGGGCAGGGTCTTAGGGACAGGCACCCTCGGAGGACCAGAGACTGCTGGCCGGGGACACCTGCCCCAGCAGCACCTGCTGCCCCTTGTGGACAGGGAGGCTCGGAGGGGCTGCTGGGAGTGGAGGGGACGGAGGTGCAGATCACAGTGCCCCTCCAAGTGCAGCGGTGACAGCAATATGATTCTGACCATGGTGGACGAAGAAAGAAAACATCCAGGTGCCACATGGGAGCCAGAAACCAGAGAGCTGCACAGGGCTCTCAAGGTGCCTGGGACGTGGGCTCCCATGAGACAGGAGGAGCTGAGGGCAGAGGGCAGCAGCGTCGGGGATGGGAGCTCTGGGGCCTGTGAGGACGGAGCAGCTCCTGCACCACAGCCACACGAGGAGCCGGGGTGAGCACCTGGCATCGCCTCCTCCTGCCCTCTGGTCTCCTGCTGGTGCCTCCAGGGCCAAACCTCCCGAGGCCAGGGTGCAAGGAGCCTGGTCCCTGTCCATCCAGACCAGCCCCTCCCACTCCCCGGGCACAGCAAGGGCAGGAGGGGGACGGCATCCACACAGCCTTCTCCCTGTCGTCCACCCTCCCCCCGCCACAGGGACCCTGCAGAGAGCCTGGTGGCCACAGAGCCCCACAGAGCTTGGAGCAGCACCAGCCTCCAACGCCCCCTGTCTTGAAGCAGCCCGGGCTGGGCCACGGAGGACCCGGGAGGCTCAGAGGGCCACCGTGTGCTTGTCCCTGTGGACGCCCCAGAGCACCTGTCACCGGCAGGAGATGGGCGTAGAGAGGAGTCAAGTCGATGCAGCTGGATGACGGGGATCATGTGCGGGGCTGGCACCCGCCCCCCCTCCCATCCCAGACAGACAACGACGACACCACGACATGTCCCCTCACGTTCTGTCCTCTGGAAACCCTTTACCAAGGAGCGCTGCAGCACCTCTGTGTGGCACGAGGAGGGGCTGAGTAGAGTGTTAATTAAGACGGAGGAAGCAAGTCTTTCAGCATCTTCCCTGGGACTCATGTTGATCAACCACCAGGGCCCACGGCCTTGATCGGCGCCATTGAATTTGGAAGAAAGTTAGACGAGCTTTCAAATTAGCCACTGGGGGCAGGAGCAGGGAGTAAGAAGGAAGGGCTGGCTGCATGCTAAGCATGAGCTATCCCTGTGGATGGAGGAGCGGGGCTGGATGTCAACGCCCACCACGGACCCTCCCAGCAAGTCCGTGCTGACTGCCATCACTGGTGACATGGAAAGTGCGACTTGTCATCAGACTTAGAAGGACAGTTCACGATGCTGTCACGGCAGGCTGGGACACTCAATGGGGCAGGCAATGAATGAGGACACTAAGGAACAAGTCCCCTGCCTGAGGGAGGACTCAACACCCAACACCCTTCAAAGGCAGCAGCTCAGAGACAGTGACACCTGGAGTCCCTGCCCACGGCTACGTGCACAGTGTGTCCTGCTGTCCCGGCAGGGTGTGGAGAGCTCATGCTGGGGTCCCACCCAGGCCCGTGGAGAGCATGTTCTACAGATTCACACAGGGTGGGCAGGAGGGATGTGAGGGGGTCCTTCCGTGGACCATCCCTCCCTGGTGTCACCTCACACCTGTGGGGAGGGATGGCTGGATGGGGTGGCACAGAAATGCCCCGCCCCTGACCAGGCCCCAGGCCAGGCTCAGCACCCAAGTACTGACCAGGGTGTGAGGGTGCTGGTACCCCCTTCTCTCACAGCCTCCCCACCCAGGGATTCTCCAGACCCCTTACCCTGCCCCCAGCCCTGGGATTCAAGGGGCTGGCCTAACAAGCCTCACGATGGGCAGTCACGTGATGCAGGTCTGCCAGTCATCCACCTCCACCTCATCCTTGGTGATGGGACAGACACGTGACCCACAGTGACTAATTAGAAGCTGACCAGGAACAGTGCCTCCCTCTCCACCTGGGACTATAGAGCTGGAGGACATGTGGGGGCACTAGCTCCACTGTGTCCCCCCTTGGGAGATGGGGCCTGAGATAAAGCCAGCATGGAGTCAATGGGGCCATGGGGTAAGCAGGAGACGTCTGCTGACATCACTGAGCACCTGGAACCAGCTATGCCTGACTCCCCTGTACTTCCCAGGACTGAGCCTTTTCTAGGTAAGGGAGTTCAAGCTTGTTTGTTATCACCTGTGAGCGAGGGGGAGGAGAGACAACAGAGAAGGAGGAGGAGGAGGCGGGAGGGATAGGTGGAGGATGAACACAACTAAACCAACACAGCTGCCATGACAGACCAGGATTTTGTCATTCTCCCTGACCTCTGTACCTTGACTGCCTCTCTATAAAATAGAAAGCTTCATCTCTTCAAGTAGCTATTTTAGGGGGAAGTAAGAGACATACTTAATGTAAGAATACCTCCACATCTTAAAAAAAAGATGCTCTATAAATTTGAGGCTTTGTTGTAAAGCTAAATAACTTCATGGGAAACCAAGAGTAAGGACACTCTAGAAATTTCCTTCGAATAACAACAGGGAATTGGCCAAAAATGCCCTGGTCAGTGTGATCTCAGTAACGCTCAGCGTCTCCAGGACTCAGCACTGTCTGCCTTTCCTAAGCACTTGGGGTGGAACCTGAGCCCAGATCCAGATGACAGGATGCACCGGGAACGGCTGGGGACAGACTCGGGACTGATCCCACGAAAGGGCATGACCTGCCATCCCTGACCTCAAAGAGACACCCCGCATCCTCCTGCCAAGTGCGTCCCCTCCTCCGGTAACAGCATCCTGATTTTCTCCCGGAGCTTCCCCGTTCTCTGAGTCCACGGGGTTGGGGGTGGGGGGGTGGTGACTGCCCACTCTAGCCCAGAGTTAGAGCTGTGACCCAAGCCTGGCCAATTAGAGCATTCCACTCCTCACGTCAATCAGAGCATTCCGCTCCTCTGGCCAATCAGGACATTCACTCTTCTGCCCTCAGGGAGGTCTGGCCAATCAGAGCATTCCGCTGCTCTGCCTCAGAGGGGTCCCTGATAGGCAGAGTTCCAAGCCAGGCCCATCGCGAATGAGGACAGTCAGTCCCAGGACTTCTGTGGGGAATGTGGGTGGAACAGTAGTAATGACGACAGAGGAGCTTCTCCCAGGACAGCTGTTAGCATTTGTGTGGTCCTAATTTTTCAGCAGCACAGGGGCCACCTGCCTGAGGATGCAGCCGCCGTAGGAAACGCTAGGGGCAGAGCCCCGAACCCGGGCAGACGGCCTTGTCAGCTGAGCCTGGACCCAGCAGCACCCAAGTGCTCCTACGACCAGCCTAGTAATCCCAAAGAGTTCCAGCTCCTTGAGTCGAGCTGTCTGCCCCTTGTAACCACAGGAAGTCTGACTGTCAGGTGTGGTTCCCAGGAGCTTTCAGGCACACTCCCGAATCCTGGAGCTCCTCGACCACCGAGACAGAGCCGGCAGGAGAAAATCAGGGAAAAGAGCAGCTACGTGCGCAGCCCCTTGTGCGTCTGCACCTGCGCTTCGGGCCGTCAGCAGGTCTGCATCCAACCTGAAAGCACGCCCCGTCCTCCCGAGGATCGTTCGGGAATGAGGCCGGTAGACGCCCCGAGAGGGGCCGTGGCAGGACGGACGCCACACCAGCTCGGACAGGATCCCACGGGCCCGAGCCCTGTCCACACCGCCCGGCTCCGGCTCCCTCTCCCCCTCCTCCCGGCCCGCTCGGTGCCCACGCAGGCAGGAAACGTACCACAATGACGAACAGGGCAGGGGCCACGAAGGCCCAGATGGCGCCACTCTCGAGCAACAGCCAGCAACTGGGGGGGAAGCAGAATGGTTACGTCAACACCTCCTTCCTCCCGCCTGGCGCCCAGCGTCTTTATCAGCTATGGAGTCAACCCGGGGCCCAGTCATAATAACATCGTTACTCCCAGCATTTATGCTTGTTTCTATCCATGATGGTCTCATGTCTCTCATTCTCGGAAGGGATTTTCGAGGTTTGCAGACCAGCTCAGGGAAAAGAAGGCTTCACAGGCCCCAGTTAGTGTAAAAATTCACCACCTCTGGAGAAGTTAGGCAAAATCCTAGGCAGGTTTTAATTTTATTATGAAAAATAAATAAATAGAGCTTTGCCAGGGGCTGGCTTTCTTCCAGAGCATTTCAAATACTAACTGGTGGCTTCTGCCACGGATTAGCGGATCAATGAGTCACCATGTGACACCATTCATCTGCTCCTCAGCTGTGGGTCCATCACACCTCCCAGCCTCGCCCCACAAGCAAAAGAAAAGGTTCCAGTCGCTCTGACTTCCCGAGAAGCCTCATCTAGGAAGCGGGGTCCAGCTTGAGGATGCGAAATTCCACGTGGCTTCCAAGATGTGACTCCAAGAACTCAGGCAAGAAAACCCGCTCCTCTCCTATTTCCTTTCTCTCCGGAGCATCAGAACTGCTGAGAGCCTGGTCCTGAGGGCGCCGTAAGAGGAATGCAGCTCCACCAGCTCAGGACGTGATCTCGGGAGACTGGCCCATCTCCACGGAGCCCTGGAGATCATCTCCCTGGATCTGGGACAGCCCCAGGGGCCTGGGCACGTTGGCCGGGATGTGGCCAGGAGTGTGGGGCAGTCCTGACACACAACCCGGATGACTCCGAGGGACCCCAGCACCCCACAATCTCACAGCGCCCCCTGAGGCAGGCGCTCTCATGACACCCACCCTGCAGATGAGGAAACTGAGGACCTAAGAGGTCAGGTGACCGGAGGCCACTCACCAGGTGTCCACCCTCCTGCCCCCATTCCTGCCCCGAGACCTCCTGGACCAGGAGACACTGGATGCCCTGAAACAGGTCCCACCTGCGCACCCAGAGCAGGGAGGGAAGACAGCGCCCCTCCCTTGGAGACGCAGTGCTTAAATGCACACGTGGCAAGTGTGAGTGGCGCCTCTGCAAAGGTCGCCTCACGCCCAGGCTCCTGCGACAGCAGACGGTTCTGCAAACAGAAAGCGCTCGCGTTCTGACACTGTCAGGCAGACTTTCAGTCCACGAGGGTCTCCTGATGTCCTGTCCTCTCCAGAGACTCCACCGCCTCCTGAGCCCTTGCTGGGCCACCTGCTGCCAGGCCATGGGTGGAGAGGGGCTGCCACCAGACACCAACCCTGCTGGACACGTGCCAGGGGGCCCGTCTGCACGCTCCAGTCGGGATGAAGTGGAACAGACGCCCCAAGACTGTCTGAGAAGGAGCCGCTGCTTTAATTAGTGCCTCAGCTTCCACAAACATCCCCACTGGAAGGAAGGAGCCGGAACGACTGCTGCTGGATCCTCCTTGTTTCACTATGCACTCAGACAACGCTCTCTTCAAACGCTTCATTTTCAGTGAATTGTCGCACTAAAGTCGAAAAGGCTACATTCCTCCCCATTTAGCAACTCAGCCAGAACATTATCTCATCCTGAAGTGATGAGAATGCTTAACTTCTCTTCTTAAGCTCTCTCGGTGACGCTTCCTTTCGTGTTTTCACTCTGTGGGTCCTCAGCTTGGCTGAGGAGAGGGAGGAACATCCTAAAAACATTTGCGGTAAAACCTTTTGTCTTGTAAGGGGAGGAATCACGTTTCTGGAACTTGAACGTCGGACCTGCCCCCACAGCCCCATCCCAACCCCTTCCTGATTCAGCCATGGGCCCTTCAGCTGCGGTTTCAAAATGGGGGCATGAGGCCTCCAACAGCATGGCCGTTCTTACTGCCAGCCTCCTGCAGCCCCCTCCCCAGGAGAACCTGGGAGACCCCTCATGCACTCATGTCCCATGGGAGTCCTGCCACACGAGGGATGCGTCCCTGTCACTTACTTGTTACTCATTCCGTAACTGTCCGTGGCCGACGATACTGAAATGACACAGATCAGGAGAGGGGAACCTGTGGAAAGTGAGAGCACAGGATCCGTCAGTTTGCCCCTGCCACCTTTTATTCATCAGTCACTTCTTCGATTTGTACCCGATATGTACAAAGAACTGTGTGCTACGTGCTGGACACAGAGCAGCCTGTGTCCTCCAAGAACGTACAGTGTAAACACAGAGATAACTCACACTCACATGAATGTTAAGACAGGTCTGTTATAAATCTGATTCTAAATTTGAAAGCAACCCACTTGTGGTGGCTGGGAAAGCGGGGCATCCTCAGGGCCTGTGTCTGATGCAGCGCCCTGGGCCCGCAGCCTCTCCCTCTGCTCCCCCTGCAGTGAAGGGTGGGGGCGAGGAGCAGACACAGCCAAGGACCCACCCTGATTCCACCCACCGAACCTCCTGGAGGAGGGCTTCAGAGAAATGGCTCCTGCCAGGGACACTGCGTTTTGCGTATCCCTAGACTGGAAGGGCGGGTGGGAAGGGGGACAATACATTGAACACGCAGCTCTTTGTGCCGCCCTCCGTGGCTGAGTGTGCAGGGCCCCCGGGAGACCTCTGCTCAGAGGAGGAGAGGGCAGCTTGTCCTGGCTCCAGGACTAGCCGCCTCAACGTGGCAGCTCTCCCACGACCTCTAGCGCAGTCAGCTCCAGGCCCGCCCTTCTGAGGTCAGTTGTAAATAATCTCCTGGAAAAGGCGTTTCCTGGAGAGCGGTCTCATCTCTGAAAAACTTTGTTCTGATGTCAACATAGTTTAAATGCCTCACAGAACATCTGGACAAAAAAGCTGCCTGGCTCACAAAGGAGACCAGGTGGCCCCTGGGGAGAGGCAGACAGATGGGGTGACATGCCTGTCACGGTGGCCCCTTGACCACATTTGAGCTTTCTGTATGCGAGCACAACCTAACAGAGGGTGAAGCTTTGCTCTGGTGTCTGGATGCCTCCGGCTGCGCGCTCCTGCCTGGACGGGCCCAGAGCCACGCAAGACGAGGATGCACTGGGATCCGGTTCAGGCCCTGCTGCCCACTCACTGGGGGCCTTGGTTTCCTCAGACGGCATGGAGAATCCTCACTGCCTGGCTCATGTGGGGTGGGGAGATCCCAGGGGACCTGAGATGTAAGGGCCTTGGGGACATCAAGCCCCAGACACTGTCAGTCACCACCAGAGGCCCCAGTCCCGACTGAGGAAGCCCACGCCGCAGCGGGCAGGAGGCGCTGACACCGTGGGGCTATCGTCCCTTGCCAGGAGCACCGGGTCCACAGGATGGCCACCACAGGCCACACAGGGGCCCCTTTTGGAAGGTACGGCAAGGCCTAGGGGGCCCCCAGGATGAGTTTTCCTACTCGGTGGTGGAGGCCTTCGCTTTGAGCCGATGCTTGCGCCCCCCTTGCCCTGACCCTGGTCGTGATGAAGACCCGAGTCAACGGCTGGCATCTCTTTGCTGCTGAAAGTTAAACGGAGGAGTCGAAGATTCTTTTTCTGTACTCACAACTGACAGGTTTCTCGTACGACCCCAAAGCAGCACCAGAAGCTCCTGTGCCATTTCTCCTCTGTGTCCTCACCTGTGACCAGCAGAGGCCAGGCCACGAGGTGTGACCGGAGGGCGTGCCTGAGCAGAGGGCGCCCACTCTCTGCTTTCTCTGAAACAAGCTGCAGGAGCCACAGGGACTGGGCGAGGCTGTGTGTTCTTAAGAAGAAAAAGCTCCCAGGTTGAATGAGGAGCGTGGGAGCAGGCTGGAGAAAGAAGCGAGAGGGGAAAGCCTGGGCTTTGGAGCCAACAGACACCTGGTTCTATTCCCAGGGCCACTGGGGACCCGCTGTGCAGCCTCAGGGGACCAGCTGGACCTCTGTGTGGCCACATTCTCACTATGGAGATGAGATGACGGCACCCTCCTTATCAGGCTGCTGTGGGGCTCACACAGCTGCGGCCGTGTGTGACTGGTGAGGAGGTCGGTGTAGGAGGCTGATAGGTACAATACTCTCCACCATCAGAAACCAACGCAGACCCGTCCACTCTTCCTGTCACCTGAAACTTAGGTCCCAGTAACCCATCAGACACGTCACAGGCTCCTGCAGACAATGGGGGTCCCTCCAGTCCTGTCACATGGACACTTAGGGAGTTAAGGGGTGCTCTCTGTGGCATGCAGTGGGCTTCCAGAGGGACCAACCGGTGCTTGCACAGCTTCTGCTTCTAAGACCCAGCGAGGAGGATGTAAGGTCGACTGTGAGGAGCGCGTGCCAGGAAACACTAACCAGGACAGACAAAGACTTGAGAGGATGGACAAAATGACCCTGATGGGGGGGCAGGCGTCTCCACAGAGCAGGGCAGAGAGACGACGACCCCAGAGACAAAGGGCCACCCTCCTGTGACGTCACCGGTACTGCCTGCCACACAGTTCCAGGTGCCTCGCTCTGGGCGCAGGGGAGGCTGCCCTCCGGCACCTGGGCTGCTGGGCTGTAAGGCTCATCTGGGCCATGAGTTGTGAATGGAAGCGACACACACGTCCATTGGCTGAGCATTTAATTTCTAGTGCGAGGTCCTCTCGTGTCCTCTTATCTGCAGCAACCAGCGATGGCGCCAGGCGGTGACTTCTCCATGACCCCGGGCTCCTGAGCCATGGCCACGAGCAGAGCCCCTCCCAGCACCACCGGCCCCCGTGGACAGACGGTGCAAACAGGAAATGAACATTTATCACAGCATCGCCTAACCTAGCCTGCCCGGACAGACATGCCGCCCAAGCTCACGCCGCGTCAGCCCCCTGGAACACAACTGCACCTTCAGAGAACGGAGGGGTCCGGAATTAACTGTGGGTAAGTTTTCACCCCCAGATGAGTGGGAGCTCACGAAAGAAATTAAATTGTAATAGAGGAAAATAAAGCGAGTTACGCGTCTTTCACTTCTGAGTTTGTGACCAGAGCTTTGTATCCGCTGCCCCGCCGCATGACCCTCAAACGTTCCTCACTTCTGTCCCCTCGTGGCTCCCACACGGACAGAGGTTAAGTTCCACTCACCCGCGAGTCCTAGCCTAGAGCCTGACATCCAGCCAGACCTCAAGGTATGCTGTTGATCTGATACCTGCAACCCCCGACTCGCTTCAGAACAGTTCCCAGGTTTCAAAAACTGGTTCTGTTCCAGTGTCGGAGTAAGACAAGGGTGCCAGTCTCCAGGAGCACCCTCCCTCTGAGGGGCTGTCCATGCAGCGTGACCTCACTGCGCCCTGGGGCAGCCTCCAGCCCCTCCTGATTAGCAGCTCAAGGCTGAGAGCCCAGCTGCCTGCAGACTGTCTTTACTCAGGCCCAAAGCCAGCGCTAACCCAGTCGGAAGGAAGGATGCGGCTCAGCAGCCCTGATGAAATCAATTAAGAGAAAGCTGACTGAGACAGACGTGGCAGGCCTGCGGGAAGGCGGCCCAGCGCTCTGTCTGCAGAGCCCACGGCAGGCGCTGCAGGCTCAGATCTACAGGGACTCTGCTGGTGTCAGACACCACACAGTCCCAGCCAATGCTGTCAAGTAAGAAGATAAACTCAGGGTTCCCAGATCTCCTCATTTTTCAAAAGAACTCTGTAAGCTTATGTAAAATCTCTCAATTTTAAAATACTGGCAAATAATTCAGTTTTTATCTCCACACTGTGCAGACAAGATAAGACATCCTTCAGGGCTGGATTGGACTGGATTATGACACACACCCCCCATCTTAGGCCGACAGTGACAAGGCCACTCACCGGTTCCTCTCACTGTTCAGACAAATGCCACAAACATGTTTAATTCATTGCAAGCGTCTTTGCTGTGCCTTATGGTGTGTGTGTTAGCGTGTGTGCACGCACACATCTCTAACCCATGTGCCTGTATCTATAGAGAAACAAGTGACTGGCAGTTGGACACACATCGTCCTGGCAATCCTTACTGTCAGTGAAGTCGGAAGTGACAAGCAGAGCAGCCTTCCTCTCGGGGGGAGTCATGGAAGGGTTCAAGGAGCAGGTCCCCCTTGAATCTCGCTCTCCAGGGCAGAGTGGAGAGCACTTGCCTTCTGAGGGCCCAGGGCGGGCAGAGGCCTCGGAGTGGAAAAGCCCATCACCAACAGCGAGCCGGCGCACACGGCTCAGGGGGACCCGTGGGGGCTCCCTGCATGGCCACAGCAGGTGCAGCTGCCGAGTCTCCTCTCCCCAGGGAAGCAGGAGGGGTGCACAGTCTACCTCCACCGCTCCCCAAACGAACGACCTCAGCCAGCTCGAAGCACAAAACAAATGTGTGCATCTGCTCCTTACACAAGGAGGACTGTGAAAGGAAATCTAGTGAAGAAAACCAGAAACAAGGGGCAGGTCCCTAATGTCGGACTGATGCTATATAGCAAAGGCAAGAGCGCCAGATGTCACCACACAGCCCACGACTCCTGCGGGAAGCAGGCCTCCTATGCTGGCGGGGACTCCTCCAAGGGGCAAGAAAGAAGTTAAACAACAAGCCAAGTCAGTGAGGAGGTGACTTCCAGAATGATGGCATGATTGCTCCACAGACCCACTCCCCAGTGAGACAACCATAATTGGGGAAAATCAGCTTAAAGAAAAACCACCACCATTTAAAGTCCCAGTAAATTTTCCTAAAGGCATACAGCAAAGTAAGAAAAATTTATTCAAGGAAACCTACTAAGACTTGGTAAGACAGAGTCTGTGACCCTTGAACCAGCCCCTGCTCCAGTCCAGGCAAGTGTGGCTCAGAAGACCCGGCTCCCTCCCGCAGGGCCTAATCACAGCTGCGCATCTCCTGGGCAGGCCACCTGCATTTCCCATTCTCTGCAGCTCCCAGGTAAGAGCCACTGAGAGACCAGAGCTCCCGGCCTCCGTCCAACCGCGGCCACGGTGTGCGGGGTCTGTCCCAGGTGTGACTGGCAGGGAGTCCGGGCCTGGACTGCCCTCACCTCCGGGCACTCAAGGAGCAGAGGCTCCCCCAAAGGCAAACTGAGGCTGGAGGCTGCCTCCCCTGCGTGAGAGCTGGGGTGTCAAGCCGGAGGAGTGGGCCACCGCCCCTGCCCCCAACTCCAGGGATTTCCCCAGATAGGGGAAGCAGGCCATCAGAACAGAGAACGCCAAAGCACTCCCCATGGAAGCGACGTTTTCTGAAACAGCGTGCGGGGAAGTTCAAGCCTGAGGGTACCTGGCCTCTCCTGGGTGTGTCATGTGAGGATGAAATCACACCCACCTACCCCACCCGCCCCATCTTATCCCGCCCCACCTGCCCCCCTCCCCACCTACCCCAGCCCATCCCATAGTAGTAGAGGTGCTTGCTGTCCTCCGAGCCGAAGACCTTGATCACCATGCTGTAGAGATGCAGCCCCTCCACCAGCATCCACGCGAAGGCGCTCAGGAAGAAGTAGTGCAGGAGCACGGCCAGCACCCGGCACGGGGTCTAGGAGCAGAGCAGAGGGGACACCTCTCTGGGCGTGCGCAGCGGGCTCCGCCGGTACCCCAGCCTACCCGCATCCATTTCCGGGGCATCTTCGGGTCACGGGGCCTCACCCCCTTCTGGGGACCCACTCCCCTTTCTGGTGCTGGGGAGTTGGGTGCAGCACATGTCTGACTGCCCTGTGGCCCCTCCCAGGCACAGTGATTGGCTCAGGAGAGGGCTGGAATCAGGCCTGGCCAATCCACATAAACATCCCCACCCTTGCAGCAGGATTGGCTAAAGGGCTGGCACGTGACCCGCCTGGTCCAATGGGGTGGATTCTGGGGTGGGCGGAGCCACCAGGGGGCAGGTTTCCCTCCTTCCTCTGGACAGGAGGACAGGAGCCTGGGGTTTGGGCAGCGGTCTTGGACCCAAACGTGAGGCCTGTGCAGAGCCGGGCCCCTGAGAGAAAGGGAGTTGAAGACAGAGAGGGCAGCTTGTGACATGGCTTAAACCCCTAGGTTCTGGACTTTTCAGTGACACTGGACTTCCCTAGAATCGTCCCAACAAGGGTAATGAACAGAGATGCGCAAACTATCCTAATGTCCTTATTTCTGGGTGCTGGATGCTGGCATCCAGGCCCCCCTGCCTTCTCTCGGATGAGGCCCAGAGGTCAGGGCCTGCCCAGCACACAGGCTCAGTCTCCAAGGGTCTTCTCTCCCTTCCACTGCTGTTAGTCTCCTGGCCCCACCTAGAGGCTCAACCTGTGGCCTCTGATGCCTCTGGGAGCCTGGATCAGAGATGCCCTGTGCTCTGTGAGTCCACAGCCGCCGTCCCTAAGCTGGGACAAAAGGTCCAGGGGACCGGGAGCCCAGGGAAGAAAAGAAACATGAAAGCCAGGAGCGACCATCTCTGCTGGGGGCTCCAAAGTCCTGTCCTCCTGCGGCCCCCACATCAGTTAATTTTTGGAGAAAAAACGTACGAGCTGCTGCACTGTTGTGTTTCTTGTCATCAGGAGCTGTTAAATTTAGATACAAACTTGGGACACTCCTATTGCTTGTGTGGTCCCAGCACCACGTGGCCCTGCATCTTCTAGGACCCGCTGCCCCTTTCCTGTGGGGAACAGCCCCTCCCCACACAGAGGCTCTAGTGAGATTGGCCACCACAGTCACCTCTCCTGCTGGCCACAGAGGTCATCCAATGGGCCATCACTCAAGCAGGACCACTCAGAGCTTGCCGTGGGATTCGTCACACAAAGGCTCTGGGAGGGAGAAGCCCTCCCAGCAACCCCAGGTGGCCCCCAGGTGTCACCATCTGGGGTAATGGGTGTCTGGAGCTGCCACCACGCCGTGGGACCTCACTCCTCACAGTGTGGCCTGGACAGGTAGCATCAGCATCCCCTGAATGCTTGATGGAAATACAGAATTCTAGGCCCTGCCCAGAGCTCTGAACCCAAACCCGAATTTTAAGAAAAGCCCCATGTGATGATTCACGTTGGAGCTTCAGAGAAGTGCCCATAGGAGAGAGTGAGGCCGGTGCACACCTCGTTTGTCCACAGCACGTCCAGAGCTTCTCAGATACCCCCTGAAACCCTAAACCTGCAGGGAGGCACCTGGAACAGAGGAGGGTGGATGGCTCCTTAGGCAGCAGCCCCAGGACTGGGATGTGGGGGCCACGGACCCTGCTGGCAGCGAGGACAGGAGGATGTGCTGACCCTCACTCGTGCCAGATGAAGTTCACCTCACGTTAGCCAGTCCTGACGCATCCTAAGACCACCGACTTACAGCTTCTCCTGAACTGTCATTTCCTTCCCTCCGGCGAGAAGCAGTGTCAGCTTCTCCTTTCCACCAACTGGGTTGTAACCCACATCTCCCAAGCCTGGGTCATTTCCGTCTCAGCTCTGAACCTCCTGGGAGGTCTAAGACTTCCTACTCCTTGGAGAACCCCACCCCACATGAAGTAGGGGTGGGGGAGAAGGTAGGAGTGGGTCTTCACAGCCCCTTTGTTGAGAGCGCCCCCCCCCTCCCCCAGCAGGCAGAGGGAGTGCGGCTGTTTGCTGTCAGCGCAGGGATGGCCGGCAGAGTCTGCAGCAAGATGGCACGAGGTCAGACCCTGGTTGGCCGCTAACCAGGGTCATCACCTTGGGCGAGTGGCTGTACCCTTCATGCCTCAGTGTCCGTCTCTGTAAGCAGGAGGTTAGCACCTCCTTGAGAGCTTGTTCTAAGGATTAACCTTGCTGATCCATGCAAGCTCTCAGCACAGCGCCCAGCGCGCAGTCGGGGCTCATCAGTGTGAGCTGACATCTCATCAGCAGCATCTTCATTACTGAGATGGATGCTGCGCGGAGGCCGGCACGTGCGTGTCATCTTCTCTGTCTCTCCTGGAGGAAGCCTGGCTATTGGGGGCTATTGGTCTGAATTCTGAGTTGAAGAAACTAGCAGGGGAAGGAGCCAGCCCTGTGACATCAGAGAGAGGAGAGGAGGAGAGAGGACAGCAGCAGGACCGAGGGGCCTACTCACGGTGCCCGGCTCCAGGCGGAAGCTGATGAGCAGCAGGACCTGGGCCACCAGGACCGCGAAGGACAGGTTGGCGTGGATGTGGTAGCGCTGGTTCCGGATGGTGCTGACCGAGCTGAGGGCAGAGAGGCAGGGGTGAGGCCCAGGCCCAGTGCCGGCTCAGGCGTGGCTGTTCCATACCACTCCACCAAGAGCCACCAAACAGGTCTTTATAAAGCCTGCCCAGATGCTGTCACTCCCGGCTGTGAACCCTCAATGACTCCCTATTGCTCTGAGAAACAACCTACTCCTTCAGGCCCTGCACGGCCTGGCCCCTGCCTGCTGCTCTGAGCCCTTTCCTGGTCACGATGCCGCTTTCTGTTCTCAGACACCCTGAGTGTGCTCCAGCCTCGGGGCCTTTGCACCAGCCGTTCCTCTGCAGTAAACTCTCTTCCCAGGTCTCCACATAGCGGCTCAAACGTCTCCCCTCAGAGAGAACTTCCTGGCATGAAGGAGCTCCGTCTCCTCACTCTAAACCGCTATCTCATGGTGCTGAGGGCCGTGAACTGTGTGCTTGTGCCTTTGTGTCCTTGCTCATTGTCCGGCCCCTTCTGGACATGTTATCTGTATTGGGCACAGCTGTGTCCCGGAGCTGACTACGCATGGGCACAGGGGGCTTGCTGAGGAGTAGCTGAGGAGCAAGGGAACCCAAGAATAAATGTCCTGAGCACAGTGCCAGGGTCCCTCTAAGCCTGCACCTGGCTCCCATCCTCACGTGTCCCGTGCACACCCCGTTCCTGCCACTCAAAGCTCCTGGGTTCCCAGATGACAGTGGGAAGTCAGGGGAGGGAAGCCACCAGCCTCTCCCTGCGGATCTTGTTGCAGCCCCCGACCACCCAAGCCCGGGACCCCCCATCCACAGAACTACCCAGATGACGGGTGTCCTCAGGGCACCAGAGCAGGTGAGGAGGGCGCTGGACTCCAGGACGAACCCCCAGGAGTGTCATCTCCCAGCAGAGGAAGGAGGGAGGGGGCCACAAAATCCCAAGCGACCCGAGAGAGTGAGGCCCCCCAGGGGAGTGTGAACGCGAGCCGTCTCCACAGCTGGCTGCCCAGACGCACATCTCTCATGTGATCTCTCTGTCCCCGGTCAGAAAGGGCCACAGAGGAACTTGGGTCCCGCCCTCCACTCGGAGGAGCTGCAGAGGTCCCTTGGGCTCTGACCAGATGACACAGCTTCAACGGGATGGTGGGGCAGCCCTGCTGGGAACATGCCCTCCTGCCCGTCCAGTGCTCTCTCTCCAGGGACCTCCCACGCCCTGTCCCACAAGGAGCTGGCCGCTTTGATATCACTGCAAGGGTGTGGGGGGGTCCTCAGTCCTGCTCTCACCTGGCCAGTCAAAGGGCCAGAAAGCTGGGGGCTTTCTGTGGGCTGGGGACCTTTCCAGAACTTTACAGCTTAGCTAAAGCTGGGTGCCCTCCAATTCCACAGACCTCCTCTCTCCTCTCTCTTTTCCAGCACCCACGGTCCCCTCCCTGCACCCCAGATCTCAAAATGAAAAGCAGTTGAGGGACAGCCGTCCAGCTGTAACAATGATGTGCAGAACTAAATAGGGGCAGCATGTCACCTCACAGGGGAAATCGAGGAGGGGCAGGGGTGACATTATCGTTTCCATGAGGCCACCAGCCCCCACCCCCCGGGGAGAGCAGAGGATGACTCACGAGAGCACGGCGAAGGTGACCAGTGTGACAGCCAGACAGAGCACGGACAGGGAGCAGCCGATGTAACTGATGGACGAGAGCGCCACCTGGTGACCGCGCGTGAGCTGCGGGGAATCAGAGCAGAGGGGTCAGCTGGCCGTCAGGTCCTGGAGGGGCACCGGCCCTGCAGTTGGTGTGGCCCAGGCCTGATGGGCACCTCAAGCTGGACAGGGTCCAGGGCTAATGCACAGCTGACTATGAGGCTACCACTGTCCCATTGTGGATGTGGTAGTGACCACTAAGCTCTGTGTCCACCCCAAAGGCCCTGCGGTCAGCACCGATGGAGGTTCAGTCCTTGGAACTAGCCCTTGCATTTGCACATTTCAAACACTCCAAATGGCACCAAAGTCACTCAGATCCCTCCTCCATCCACTTCTACACTGCTACTGCCTAACCCCTCCCCTCCCAACCGGGACACCCCCTGCTGTCCACCTGCTGGCCAGGCCACGGGCCCCGTGTCTAGACTGCACATCCACAGGTGCAGAGTTTGCTTAAGAGGACGGACCCAGGACCCATACACCCGGGTTCAAGTCCCAGCACGACCACGTGCCAGCTGATGACCTGGGACCGTGACTCAGTGACGCTATGTGAGGGTCCAATGAATTGACATCTGTGAAGTGCTTGGAGCAGGGCCAGGGAGACAAGACGCGCTGCAGGAGAGTTTGTGTAAGAGTTCACTGTTATCCATGTCGTCCTCCAGCAGAGCATAAACAAGTGTGGTGAACTGAGCGCCTGCAAAGCCACAAAGGGCCGTAACAGAAGCCACAGCTCACCCAACAGCACAACCTAAAATGGCGGCTCCCTCGGCTCCACGAGCTGGCATCTCGAGGTCGGACACATTTGACCCTGGGCTCTAGGAAGCTCCCTGCTCCCTAAGCCACATGCCTCAAAGACCAGCTTCCTAAAGCTTGTTCCTACAGAAGGTGCCACTGGGTGCTTCCTGCTATGGTTTACGGCCAGGTCTACAGCAAAGGCCCAGCCTGGAGCTCACTCCGCATCACTGCCCTCCACGTTCTGCACCAGACACCAGACATCAAGGTCCCTCCAGCTTGCCCAGTACACCCTGGGACCTTTGCCTTGGCTAAATTGCCTTCTCCCCGCTTCACTGGGACATAATCACAGCAAAAGTAGGCAACTCTAATGTCTGTAACAGTGCTGTTGGCAAGGACAGTGGAAATGCTCCAGACCCAGGAGGCCCCAATTCTGGAGCCCAGGAAATGTCAGTGGATCCAGGGAGCAATTTGGGAGCCAGCAGGACCGTGCCTGAGGATGGATAACTCAATGGATTTTACTACTTTCAGATGTGTGAGTCACTGCCAGTAACTCATTCCCGGGGCTACGAACACTTTAGTCCCAACTGAGTGGGGGGAGGGGAAGGAGAAACCTGGACCCAGCAGCCTAGATGCGGGAGGGGTGGGCCCTCATTAGTCACCTCCTGTGTCTAACCATCTAACTGTTTACCAAAACAAGTTCCCTAGACAGGTGGGGCCAGCAATGTGTTCCTACAGCAACCTTCTTGGAGATATCCCAAGATCTGGACCCCAAACTTCTCCACCTGCAGATAGACGGCCCAAGAGGTGTTCTGATTCAACAAGTACCCTGGGTGGGCAAATGGAAATACGTTCCTGGAGCCACATTCCCATACTTTCTTCCTTGACACTCTAGCTCCTACAAGATGTAGTTAGCGGGTCTTCCGTGAAACGATGTTTCTGGTTTTAGATAAGTTCAGAGAAAGCTGAGTTCTCTATCCCCCTTTAAAGACTTTTGATCAATATAAGAAATTTAAGAGTTCTGAGGAATCCTGCAGGTAACAAATATTTAGCTATGTTAAACTTGGCGTTTCTCAAACTCTTTGGGGAAGGAAAGGAAGAGAACACCTCTAGACACGTAGTTTGGAGGTGCTGTTATAGAGCAAGTGACATCTTCCAGAAAATGGACTAAAATCAAAGACAGAAAACACTAATATTATACCAAAAATGTAATCTTTCTTTGCTGTCTCATAAGACAATTGAAAAGTCTCATTGTCACCATTACGGTGATCTCTGCCTAGAGAGGTAGGGAGTATCGGTTACAAAAGTTAATGGGCATCAGCACACTATCAACTGTTCTTGGAAGTGAAGGTCCTTCTCTGCAGCACTCATGAAATTGAGCCAATGGAGATGTCAGCAAATGAACGATTACAACAGTGCCTGTGTCCCAGAGCCAGCCTGGCTCCAAGGACACCTTCACCCCAGTGCCACCGGGAAGCCCTCTCCCTAGTCTGGCCCTGAGCCCACGTGCTCCACATGAGTCCTCCTCCTCCCTGTCCATCTCTATACTGCCTTAGTCATCTCACATCCCACCAGCGGGGTGCGTTCCACTCTCTGATACCACTGTTCTGTCTCATGGGGGGGGTCTTCTTTCTCCCAGAGAGATGGGCTCTTTGAGGATGGAGATCACTTTAAGGAAACTGTGGGTGTCTCATCACCCACAGCCCTGAGGACAGCAGGGTACTACTGAGAACGATGGTTCTCCAGAGGTATTTGCTGAAATATACCCCAGCAGGGTAAAAAGAGCCCTCAAGTCTACTCCCTGACTCCATTACTGATTCACCATTAAAAGTTTACTTAACCAACATCACTGTTCATATACCTCTTACAGAGAGAATAAAACTTCACCTCCTCCATTCACAGATGTGTAGCGAGCTTCCAGCGGGCTAATGTTAGAGTTCACTGCACAGTGCAGAAGCTTCCTGGGTGTGAGGGTAGAAACTGGTCAGCCATACTCACTGAAATCTTTTGACCCCTGTTTTCTGCATACCTACTCTGCCTGGAGCTTCTGATAAATGAGATTTCAACCCTAGCCTCAGACCCACACCTACCCAACCCTGTGCCATGCACCCTACAACCCTACTGTCAACCAACCAACCTTACAACCTTACTTACAATCAACCAACCTTACTACTAGAGTCAACCAAATCTACCATCAACCAACCCCACCACAAACCAATTCTGCCATCAACACACCCTGTCATCAATCTACCTTAATATCAACCAACCCCATCATCAACTAACCTTATCATCAACCAACTCTACCATCAACTAACTACCATCAACCAACCCCACAATCAGCCAACTCTAGCATTAACCAACCCTACAATCAACCAACTCTTTATCACAACTTTTACCAAGCCCACCCAAAGCTAGCCTCATGCCAGGCACAATGGAGAACACTAAAATGAATGAGATATGGCCCCTCCTTGAACATAGCTAACAGCCTGGCCAGGCAGCCTCGAAACGGTTATACAGGACATAAGGCAAACTGTATTGGAGGGTCATATTTTACATGGCACTTGAATTATAAAATGAGCCCATTAGGTGAAAATGGTAGGTGATCTAAAGGAACTTGAAAACCCCTGAGACCCCCTAAAACTGGAGTGTCTATAGTTTGCGCATGTAACCTCATTCATGGCCCCTTTGCACAGGTGTCTTGACTAACACTCAGGAAGACCACAGAAGGGGCCAAGAGGAACCTGCATGCAGCAGTCAGGGTCTTCAGAGCTTTCCAGTTTAAGACGGCTGTCAGACCTCCAGGGCAGAGCAGGGTGGGAGGTGACGCTTGGAGAGACCCCGCTTGCCGGCAGGGTTCACCCCCTTCTCTTTTATATAAGGGCTTTATCACTTGAACACATGTCCAGCCATTGGTTTGTCAGTGTGAGTATTAAGTGAATGTGTGTCCCATGTTAGCTGCAGCTCCACTGTGACCTGCAGACAGCCTGGCCCTAAGAGCCTGGAAGCGAGGGAGGGAGGAACATAGCGAGGAGGGCGGGGCGTTCACACAGCTCAACAGGTGGGCAGGAAGCCGACAGAGAGGAGAGGAGAGGGCCTCTTAGACTGGAAGCAACGTGAGCTCTGGATAGCGAACTCCCCGAAGACAAGGGTGGTTGGTCTGACGGAGGATCTGGCAAGCTAGGTGTTCAATGAAGGAACAAGGATCAGAACACAACGCCAGTCAGAGGTAGCGGGGCAATCACAAGAGCGGAGAGCTAGGACAGGAAGAAGGTAACTGCCTTTACTGGGCACCTGCTGCATGCAGGCTTTGAATCCTCAGAGCAGCCCTGTGAATGGGCATTGTGGTTCTCATCTGCAGAGGAGGAAATTGCTTCGGGAAGCGACTGCCCAACACTACACAGCCAGGAGGGGCAGTGCCGGGACACCCCAGACAGCCTGTCCTTCATCTGCAACAAGCACGTGTGGAGCACCCACCGGGTGCCAAGTGTGAAACTTACACTGCAGTGAGGGTAATAGATGAGGAACGAAGACACAAGCAGATAAACACACAAACGAATAAATGAGGCCGCTGGCTCCGTGCTTTGACGACGCCACGCGGGAAACAGACAGGGGCCCTGGCAGACGTGACCTGCAGAGGAGGGTGAGGAGCACCTGACAGCGTTCACACAGCCACAGACCTGAGAGTGGTTCTAGGTCCTTCGCTCTCCCCTCGGAGCCCACCCATCACCGAGTCCTGCTGGTTCCTCTGCCAACACGTATCCATACATCCCTCTCTCTCTCCCCAATTTCCAGAGCCTTTGCCTTAATCTCCTCCACCCCTCGGACCTCCTCCCTTCTCCCTACTGCACCCCGGGCCACCTTCAGTCGTCTCCACTCAGCAGACAGCACTCGCAGACCGCCCCCCCCCCCCCCCCCCCCCCCCACCCCGGGCGCCCTTGCATCTGGAAGGAAATTCATCTTCCTCCACGGCCCTGCCTGCATCTCTGCCTCCTCACCACCTTAGTCACTCTCAGGAGGGTCCAGACAAGAAAGCAAGACCCTCCCCGTAATTCAGGAGGGGGAACTTAACGAGGGAAGCTGGTTACAGGGGTGTGGGAGACCCTGGAAGAGCGGAGGGCAGAACACCAGAGAACAGCCCAGCAAGAGCCTCTGCCCTTGCAGATCGAGAAGGACAACAGGAGGAGGTGACCTGAGCGGAGCGAGCAGGGCCCCACAGAGCTGGAATCAGTCGGGACAGGCCCGCCCAGGTGAGCTGGGGTCAGGGAAGGAGGGACGGCACAGTGAGCAGGGACTGC